CTGAGTATTTTTCTGTCCGCCATTTTTTCGTCTGGACGAGGCGGAAAAATGCACCTTACGAAAAAATGCGCGGACTTAAAAATGCACAGACGAAAAATTGCATAGACGAAAGTAAGGGACGAAAGTCTGCGGACGAAAATCTGCAGACGAAAAATTGTCCGACGAAAACCTGCTTAATGAAAAAGTTGAACTGTCATGGAATCATTGCTTATATTGAATGCTCGTTGCTCAATGGTGGTTTGATGACTCAGACTTGCAAAACAAATAAGTTTGACACCTACTTGGTCCAGTGGGTAGCTTCCAAGTAGCTTCAAGCCCGGCATATCACAACCCAGAAAATATGTGAGGTGATATTAGAAAAGAACTTTCCAAACCACCACTGTCCACTGTTTGACAGTTTCATAATCCATAACATTGATAATGTAAAAAGCTACCACTTACCAGGTCTCTTGTTCCAGTTCTGCCTCACAGCCATGACAACGATTTGGCTATATATGTCTACACTGCTTATATTATATATAAAATATAAGCAGTGTCAAAGTAGGTGCCAAACTGATTTGTTTTGCAAGTCTAGTCTCTATATATGTCTACACTGTTTGGTTCGTTTTCTCTTCATGTATCTATCTTAGCCCCTTGCAGCTGGTCGCTCAACCATAGATATTTATTGAAGTGCTTACAGACAAAACCTAGTGCAGGGTCCTTAGTGGCCCATGTGCAACATAAACCTCATGGTCCAGCTTCCAGGATTCTTGAGGTCCCTCAACAAAATGATGGTGTATGTCCAGACCGTTCTCCTAAGATCCCATGACAAATAATAGAACTGGGACTGAAAGTCTGCATTCTGCAGAGACTTGCAGCATACCAAAATTTTGAGGTCCTGACCCCTGGGTTTCAATGGTTTCACGACATATGAAATGTTGAGGTCCTGGGTTTCTAAGGTCTCATGTCACATGAAATGTTGATGTCCTGGGATTCCAAGGTTTCGCGGCATATGCAAATGCTGAGGTCCTGGGATTCCAAGGTCTCGCGACATATGCAAATGTTGAGGTCCTGGGATTCCAAGGTCTCGCGACATATGCAAATGTTGAGGTCCTGGGATTCCAAGGTCTCGCGGCATATGGATGTTTTAAGGTCCTGGGTTTCCAAGGTCTCGCGACAAAAATGACAATGCAAGGTCCAGGATCCATCAAGGTCCCAGACCTTGGACTCTGCGAACCCTGGATCTCGGATCTTTTTGGGACCTTGGCACAAGTCTGGTGGGGTTGTTGTTTGGGCAACAGGTTTATGAGAAGGGAGTGGGCCGGGGTGGAGGTGGTGGCAGGAGAGGTCACGCACAGACGCGGGAGGATGAAATATGCAGGGGTTTGACTGGTTGCTGGAAGCTGAAGCAAGTGGAGAACATCATGACTACTGGCTAAAAACAAGGCGTTAAACTGCGGTACACGCAGTTTATCGTATAATTACACAGGATGCAAGATTTTTACAGGATTACACAGATACTCCTGGGCGCTACCTACCACATGTTAGAGCTAATTACCTACTTGTATATACGGTGTCCCTAGCAGTTACATCTGTGAGCGCATGTTGACATATCAGTGACGGTCACGTGTCACGGGTCACCGGCGCACGCGGACTCATCCATGGCCACGTGCCCGCCCCCAGCCCTCGTCTCACCCTCTGACGCTGCCGTGGCGGCCGATCGGGCCCGTTTCTAATCTTCACGCGGGCCCGAGGAATGCGCCGCGCGCTGGCCAAGCTGCTGGACGGGTCATTGACTCCCGCCGCGAGCGACGAGCGCCATTCTCCCTCCCGCCCGCCGCCCGGCGTCTCCGTGGGCTTTCTCTTCTTTTTTTTTCGGGAGTGGACCCGGGCCCGGCGCGGCCGCGGCCATGGATTGGCGAGGACTCCGGCCCGGGGCGGTTGGGTCTAACGGTGCGGGACGGTCGCCGGGCGGACGGTTAGACCGCCAGGTGAGCTGAAATGGATGGCCGCTGGGCGGAGGACCGGCAGACTGGGTTGACGGGTGCCGGGCAGGGCGGCCGAGGTAGTCAATCTCCCTACACTGCACTGCGCTCTGACACAGGTGTCTTGTCAGACTTTAACACGCCTGAGATCGTGTTTTCTGAATTGAGATGGCCCACGCAGAGATCTGTTATCCTGGGTGGACACTGGACAGGTAAGGTAAATGTAGACTGGGACGAACACTGGTGTTGGCGTCTCTCTCGGTTCTTTATGTTGATTTTGTTGGCGTTTTCTCTCGCCTGCGTGACACCGAAGCTGGCAGTCCGACACTGTCCGGGCCCCGGGTCGTTCGTGGGAGGGCGGTGACAATGTCCCAGCCGGGTGGTGTATGGACCGGACCAGTTCAGACGTCAGATAGAGCAGATATCAGCCCTCCCTGGAACCCGTGGGAGGAGCGGTGATTGGACGACATCCTATGTGTCCCGAACTCATCACCGGTGAGCAAATGTCAGCCAGACGTCCCCCGAAAGGTCAGCGCGCCTTAGCGGGCCGGCTGGGACGAGATCCCCAAATGCCACTAATGAGATTTGGGCCTCGCCAAGGTGACTGTCTGAGCGACCATTTTGAACCGTTTGGTTGTGCGAAAGACCCATCGAGTCCAGTCCACTTCCGGGTAATACCTGTCAGTGGACTGGGCCGACATCCCTGCGCTGTCATCTGTCAGTAAATGCCCTTCACCGCCCATGTCCGTCGGGCTTCCGTCACTACCTGCCGTCTTCGGTCATGGCACTTAGACGGAGTGTCAACACCGGTCAAACCGGCCTCTGTAGTCTGCACCCGCCGCTGCCGCCGTCTCGGGCGGACGGCGGTGACCCGACATAGACAGCCACCGCCGCCACGCTGTCGTGCCGACTTCCGTAAACGGCGCTGGCCGCTGAGCAGCTCTGACCGCTGACTCAGCGCGGCGCTGACCGCTGATAGCCGCCGATATCAGAGGTCAGCGCGCGATCTGTCAGCGAGTGGGAGCGGACCGCACCGAAGACCCTCAAAGTCCTCCGCGAATGGAGACACATGAGGCGCCCTCCGCAAGCTGTCCACAACAACAGGACAGCGGTAGTAGCGGTAAACTGATCACGGATCATGGTCTGCGTCAGGAGGCTTGAAGGGCCCTGTTTCGTTTAAATGCTTGAAACATTATGCCGATGGAAATCAAAGATGGTATCTAATGGTTTAATGACATTTAATTTGGCTGGGTTCCGCATAAGGGCTTTTCTCAGGACTTGAAAGATCTTCAAGTCTTTGAGTTTCTCCTCAGTCCTCACATTAAATTCAATCCATCCTTCTGCACAACATCCAGGTCTGCCCCGCGCTCACCGCAATGCCCATCTCGTCCCTGAGTGGAGCCTCCCTGCGCGCGCCGGTCCCGGAGCGTCGTCCAGCCGGCGCCGCTCCGCTCCACGGTTCATGGCCTCCTCTCTCACCACGACAAACAAACCCCGGCGGCAGCCGTGCACCGCGCTGTGCACCAGTCACGTGACCTGCCGCCGCCGGCAGCCCCGCACCATTTCGTGCACAGCGGCCGGTCACGTGACCTGCCGGGCACCAGACCGAGACATGGGCATATATGGCTTGGCACGGGATGCACATTGCACACTAGCGCGGCGGTGGACACAGACTCGTTACTTTGATAAGCCGCCCGGTCGGAAGCCGCGGGTAGAGATTAGACTCCGCCGCGTGGATCAACTGGTCTGGACGTGGATAAGCGGCCCGGATAAAGTCCCTATCTGTGTGTAATTTGAGCGTGGCCGAGTGTGTGGTCCCGGGAGGTCATGGCTCTTTTTGTAGCCTGCAGTTGAGGCTCAGCGTCAACAGACGTCGCTCGGTGCCCGCTGAGATGGTAACCGAGCCGCGGCGGCGCGTGACCGGTTGGGACTGTCGCCTCATGGGGTGCGGGGGCGGGGATTAATTTGTCACATTAGTCGGGTGCGTGAAATGGTGACAAAGTCTGCCGATCCGTCTGCAATGTAGGACTGAATTGGTGGGCTTTAGGGGATCATCCGAGACACAGTTTCAGGCCTGTCAGCGATCTGCAAATGTCAAGCTACTGGAATTAACTTTCGTCTGAGAATTCACATCGACCAAAAAATGGCCGCCTTTCAACATCTCGATACCCACAATTCATTTTTATTATACCGACATATTATAAACCGATAATTCGAACATTTGATGCATTATTAAAATGTTATAGAACAATGCTGAAAGCGACTTGTGAAACTCTCTGATATTTCCAAAATTAGGAAAACTCTCGGATAATTTTCACTGACTCGTAACCAGCAGACAGCCGTTTATGTTCGAGGATGAGTTACTCTGAACACTTTCGGCGAACGGTGGCTGTCAGTGATTCGTTGGCTGGTGCCAGTCGCATTCCTGGGACGTGTCGCGATGCGGCCCGCAGCTACAAGCTAACAACCAGCGCTGTTTGTCGGTGAAATGCCGGACGATATTCCGGGGTGATTTGTCGCCATGATAAACACTAGCTGCCGACAGGAATCATGTGATGATGAGCTGGACTGGCTGTTGCCGGGTCTGCTCCTAAACAAACCCCCGATTGATGAAACTACTTGTGTGGAATTTGTAGGGCTATATTTGGATATTTGTCCTGAAGGATACCTGACAGGAAATCGGTATGAACAAAAATGAACGGGAAATGTCAATTTGTCATGAAGGGCTGGCGAGCTTCGGCTTTTGTCAGTTAACAACTTCAACTCTTTGACTTCACAGAAGCCATTGAGGCTTATTAAGGTCCATTGCTCCTCATCAAGCCCCAGATGAACGTAGATCAGGGCTGTTGTGGCCTGCTTAATCATGTCCTCAATTCAGCTTGATTGAGTCGCTACTTTGATGTCCAAATCGGGACATCAGAACGTGATTGTTGCTTTCAACCCTAGTTCTTACGTCCTGCAGCCCTCATCCCACCGCATGATGTTCCGCTGATCGTGTTCTCCGTTGGTCTGACCGTGGTTTTGTTGCTGTTTCAGGTTTCGATAGTCTGCGTGAGGAGTTGGGGCCCTCCAGAGACACCTCATTCAGACCGGACCTGACGCTGGACGACCGAGACATCATGAAGGTGAGTCCCGCAGGCGGGTGAACGTGCTACACGAGCTGCCGAGCGTGCTACAAGAGCTGGTGAGCCTGCTGTACTGGAGGGAGAACGGCACGGGAAGTGAGGGGCGGCATGAAGGAAAGGCTTGAGACGTCAGAAAGTCTAAAGGCGTAGCTTAGTGGATGGTGCACCGTGCATCTGGGTCTCCTTCCCCCCGTGTCACAAGCAGTCTCGGCTTGCGGCAGAACTGTCGCCAGGAGAGTAGAGAGTAGAGACGTCCTACATATACCTTGCCGACAAGGAATCTTGTTGCTTCATGGCGGCTTTGATGATCCAGCGATATAGGCAGATCTACGAAGCACCTCACATGGCTAACTAGCTGTGCCCAGCCGCGCTCCAAGGCTGCGACGTGCAGCTCGACCTAACTACGTATTGCTGGAACACTTGTTGCCGCCGTGGCAAAGAACTCCTGAGGAGACTCCTTGGCGCCGTGGCTGAATACGCCCCGGGGCGCCGGGAGGCTCCCACGCGACCGTCGCCTGCCCGGGGCGCCGGACGCCCTTCCGGCACCGGGCGTCCACCGTCCGCGGTCGGAGCGCCCACCGCAGACCGTTCTGGCAGTGGCTGGACGCAGTGGTCAGGGGCGATGGACGGACACCCAGGGGATGTTCCACGCGAGAACGTCGCTGGCGTGCATTTTCTAAGCGGAAGTCTCGCAAATTCCGAAGGATTCCTAGTCTGTCTGCAGCGTTGTCACGGAGGCTCGTCTGTGGCGCTTAGTAACGTCCTCGATCGCCAATTTTGCATGATAATCTGCCAGACGGTCTCGCCACGCAGCTGTCTCACCCACCGTGTGGCGATTTCTCCCGTTGCAATCGATCGGTCGTACTCTATTGAGGCGTGCACGGAGGGTGGTGTGGGACACGCGACTGGCCGCAGCTGGTCTGCGGCTGAGCTGGTGGCCGGAGCACCTGTGTGGGACACGCCCCGCGCCCGCATCTCTCAGGCCACGCCACGCCACGCCACGGCGTCGCGTGGGGCTCGGCGAAACCTGCTGCACAGCACAACCTCCACAGGGAATGGTGGCACCCCGGGCCCACTCTGGGACTTCCCCGGTGCATTTGGGTGCTTATTCAGCACTGGAGTATCGAAACATAATGAGACTCGCGTCAGCACGTGTGGGTTGTAACGTTTCTCTGTCCCGCAAATCGCGACAGCTGCGAATGCTGCTGCCTTTGTGACTGGTGTACTGTAGGTACTGTACTGGCCAGACTTTTGACAATATCATGTAGTTCGTGCCATTGTGAACACCTTGCCACGATTTGGCCTGATTCCGCTTCCGTTACATTTTTGTTTTTCCGCTTTTTTATCAACACCGGCTGCATTCTCTACCCTTTGTCACACGACTCACGACATCGCACTATTATGCCCGTCACGGAACCCCCTTTCGTGACGGTCTCGGCGTGACGAAACTGGTAATTGTGAAGCACAAAACGTTGTCGACTTTCGGATGCTGACAAACTAGCAGTAGGAACTGCTGGACATCCGCAAAATTGATCACCACCAGGATACGATGACACTTATTTGAATGTTTTTAGTCAGGCACCGCCGTTTTGCTCGATTATCGCCACCAATTCGCAGAAAACGGTCCGATTCTCATAAACGTCAAACTGCTCCAAACTTGTCTGGAAACTCGTCGATGTCCACAAATGCTCGACGTTGTCATCAGGGCTGCGGAGTCGGAGTCGGAGTCGGAGTCGGAGTCGGAGTCGGTCGGAGTCGACAGTTGTGACCGGAGTCGGAGTCGGAGTCGGAGTCGATTTTAGAAACCCGAGCCGGAGTCGGAGTCGGAGTCACCGAAAATCTGTCGACTCCGCAGCCCTGCTAGGTCTGCGGAGTCGGAGTCGGGAGTTGGAGTCGGTTAGAGTCGACAATTCTGCCCGGAGTCGGAGTCGGAGTCGGAGCTGGTTTTTGAAAGCCGGAGTCGGAGTCGGAGTCGGAGTCGCCGAAAATCCATCGACTCCGCAGCCCTGGTTGTCATGCTTCTTGGACTGCATCAGATGTCTACCATTGTCAAGATGCCTTCTGTCCACTGAAACCACCAGCCAGGGTCTGTGTGTGAATCGCGGTCGAAAGCGTGCGAATCCTGACCGGAAGCGCTGCCTGCCGGCGGGCGCGGGGCGATCAGCGGAGTTCGCGGGCTGCTGGCGGCGCGTGGTGTGGGGACCGGGACTGTTTGGTGGCTGGGCGGGCTGTGGGAACGGCGGGACGAGCGGCACGGGCGCCACGATCGTGTGGCTCCGACGCCACGATCGTGCGACTCCCGGTCGGACGCGGCGCGGGATGGCCGTTGGCTGTTATTACAGTGTTTGGATGTTATGAAATTTGGCTCATCCGAAGAACCAAGATGAAGTGATGCACCAACGATCGAGTTTCCGTCGGCTCGTCAAACCCCAAGTCTGGCGCTTTCACTGGGCGTGGCGCTGTGCTGGGGTTCGTCGCCTCTTACCCCGTCTACCGTCCCCCTCCCCCGTCTGTCGGCGCCGGCGGGTCGCCGCCGCGTCGTTTCCGTCGCTGATGGCCGTCGTCTCTGTCGGCCGGTCGTATCAGCTCAACCAGGCCCGGGCGGCTGACGTCTCCGGTCGCGGCGGTTCACAGTTCAGTGCCGCTCGGAGGGGGGCTGCAGCGGGCGGGGAGTGGGGCCCACCCGTTCGGTGACTGACGAGCTGATGGGGCTCGCTCAGGGTTATAGCGCTCTCCGCTCTTGAGTACTGGCTGATGGACGCCCGGTTATCGATCCATCCTGAAGCGAGGTTTTGAGATTCCCGTATTTCACGGATCGGTGGGACTGTAAATCTATCTTCCATGGCCTCCGTTGTGCTGTTGGACCTGGTGTTTCGGACGTTTGTGGCGGCGCCGGCAGGGCAGCGGCTGAACTGAACGGCTACCACGGCAGAGTGGCGGCGACCGTCGCCCCAGCACCAGCTGGGTTATTGATGGTAGCAGACGGCGACCAATTTGTCCGATGGTGTTTTCGCCCGCTGCCAAACGAACTCTGAACGCGCCCGACCGGTTATTGGCTTACCCGAGAAATGGGGCTCACTTTCACTTTCGTTTTCACTGAGACTTAGATGGAGCAGATAGTTTGTCCTTCCTTATCTAGAACCTTTTGGTGATATGGGTGGCATTCAGCCATCTTACATTATCTCCTCGATTCCCACCCGCCTGGTGTTGGTGTCCGTTGGTGTTACCACCGATGTCGCTGCCCCCTCCCTAGTCCCTCGTGCCCTGGCTGTCCCGGGAGCGGGACCACCCAGTTCCAGGTCAGTGGATCCTCCTGATCCCCGTCTGGCCCTGATCCTCTCACCTCCCAAAAAAACGCTCCGTGACGGCGCCGGGCGTGCGTGGCCGCCGCGCCGGCGGCTCCGCAGCTAATCGACTCGCCGTTTTTTGTGCGGCTGTCGCCCCCGGCGCCTGGTTTCAGGCTCCGGGCGCCGAACGGTGGTACTGGACAGGACTGGGACAGGGCTGGTGGTAGTGGAGTAGTTTTTTGTGGGATTTTATAACCGGTTTGGTGGTAAGCGGTGTCTCTGGTCGCCACAAAAAGTGGATGCTACGGTCCGCCGACTGCTTGACGGGTGGAGACCGCACCAAAGGAGACCGCCGTGTGTGTCTGATCGGGTCAGGAGTGTGGTCTGGCGGTACGATTTTTTGTGGACTTGGGGAGTTAATAAGATGATGAATTTATGGTTTTCTGGAGAATCAACACTTTGTTCTTGTTACTAACGCATCATTTGTCACTATTTTTAGCGTCAAATCGTCAATGCTGTGCTACATTAAGCACAGATACATCCGTCCTCATAGGTATGTGCAATGTGCATGAGTATCACTGAGCCAGCATAAGCCGAGAAACCCGCACAGCACCGCGCCGGCCCGTGTTGCCGTGTGTTTTGACACTCCCCTGTAGCGCCTCGCCGCTCAAGCCGATCGATACATAGCCACCTCGCCGCGCACCCCTCCCCCTCCCTCCCTCCCTCCCCCTACGATCGCCCTGTGATTGGTGCGTACGCAATAACTCGGCCGACACGGTTTGATCTCGCCGCCACCACTCAGCACCGGAAAGGTAGCACTTCCGGTGGCGAAATCGGTCTAGATATCGATCTAGTTTGAACCCTGAATGGGTCAACTGTCTCGCTGTTTTCGAAAGTGATCCCTACTCGTGATAGGTATTTGATAATCCCATTACATAAACAGAAATATTTTCTCGTTTAATGTTCTAATGGTTGTATCGGACTGTTTTGTTTCGGTTATGGCCTCATAAGTTCCACAATCGTTTCTCTGGAAAATGGTTCGGCCACAAACAATTCAGGCTCCTTTCAGCCACATTAATTCGGTGATCCGTGTCGTTTAGCTCGGCTGTGGTGGTCTGTGGCTCGGATTCCGTTAACTCGTTAATACCCGTCAGCCCGCTTAGAAGCCATCCGCTCGGAGTCTGACTAATGATTGTGCCGATTTGAAAACGGCCGCCCATGTATCTCTGTGACGCTGGCCGCTTTGTATACCGCCGCCTGCGGAGAGTGCTGCTGATTAGCCGGGTAGTGACCTGTCATTTGTCAGAACAGTCAGCTGACGGCTGACAGACGGCTGACAGGTGACAGTGCTGGCGGCGGAAGGGTTGGCGGAAGGGCGGGCGCCGGGCGGAACCGGACGGCGGGACGCCCCTCTCCGCGGGTAATGGGCGATATCTGCCCACCGTGACCGAATGAGTGGGAAGCATGGGCCGACCGTGAAACACGAATAAAATTAACCAACAGGCCTGGGACGTGTGGGATTAGCTGGGGAGTTTGAACCCAGCTGGTGGAATGAGTTTCGTGTTGTTACAATGTTAAGCACGTTGTGCTCCGTATCTATTGACTCAAACTTTGACACGCTGCGCTAAAATCGCTCCCGTTCGCACGGCGGCGAGCGGACGCATGTTTGTTTCTCACCGAACCGGCCTGTCGCCCGGATCAATTTCAAGGTCT